CGATGGCTTCAAGACGGCCCGCGAGGCCGTCGAGGCGTCCCAAGAGGGCCTCCACAGCCGTCCGAAGAGGGCCCCGAGAGGCAACAGGCAATGATCACTGATTTTCCGTAGGTTGTTCAATGTGTTTTGTCTTCGGGCTTTCGCCTGTTCGAGCTCTCGACGTCAGGAGCCCTCAATAGGGCCCCGAGGAGGCTCCAAGACGCGCCCAAGAGGAGCCCAAGAATGCCCAGGAGGGCTCCAAGACCACCACAAGAAGGATCCGAGAGTGGGAGCACGAAGCAAGAGTTCGAGCCTTCTGCCCCAAGAGTCCCCCAGCAGGCCCCTCTGCCTTCTCGGATGGCTGCCACCCAGAATGCTACTGGGGAGCACACAGAGGACGTACGCGCCCAGCTATGCACATGAACACGGCCCCTTGACCCGCGAGACCTGCCGCGCGATACGAACATTCGTGCAATGCGAACTCTCGAAACCAGCGTGGATTCATGTACATGTACGTCCTTCTGTCGCTCCTGAGCTACACTTGGTACGGTGGCGGAAGTGCCGGAGGCAGCTGGATAATTGTTGGGCTGACATTATAGAGTACAGAGGCCTCCGAGGTATGGTCGGTGCACATGGGGTCGGAAGATCGTGGCGCGTCGTCGATGCATCCATCACTGATACATCGGCGACGTCGGCGTGGCGAAAATCGGGCTCCACATTGATCCACATCGCCGATGCATTACCGATGCATCGCCGATGCATCGGCGATGCGGCGTGATCCTCCGACCCCCTCTACTTGGACCCCGGCGGCCTAGACATCATATCCCCCCCCCACTACGCAACGCCTCCCACCACGCAGCGCCCACCCACCCACCCGCAACTCCCCCCCCTACGCAACGCAGCGTCCCTCTCTCCCCCTACCCACGGAGCCGATCCGACCCGACCCGACCCGACCCGAGCCGATCCCACAGCGAGCCCCTCACCGCCCCCCCCCCGGCAGGCTCTCCTTGCCGGGGCCGCCGCCGCCCACGGGCGACCCGCGGGCGGGCGCGAGGGACAGCCGCACGTCGCCGCCAGCGGGGGAGCCGCTCTCGCTCCTGCTCGGGTCGGGCGACGGCGTGGGGGGAATCGGCGGCGATGATGCCGCCGCCGGCGCCGGCGCCGCCGTAGGCTCTTTGATCTTCGATGATACGTGGTCGGACAACGCGGGGGGGCACCGAAACAGCTCACACAACTGGCTTCTCCAGCGCCTCCCGGCGCCCATGTGTGCCAAGGGTGGCACCAGGCGGCGGGGCCGAAAAACCAGCATGCACTCGGCAGACTTCGCCCCCTTCCCCCCCCTGCGGCGGGCCAGTGGAAACTGCACCGTCGACAACTGTGCTCCCCGAGCGCCGTAGAAAAAGCCGACTGCTCTCCTCGCAGGCCGTCTCCAGTCGTGTCTCCAATCGTCAGCATCCGGGCGGGAGGCTGGATTGCACCGACAGGTGCGTCGGATCGGATTGCACCAGCACGGAGTCGAGATCGAACCGGATCGGCGGCGCCAAGATGCACCACCACGCCGTGCGAGCATCGGGCCGCATCGGATAGCCGAGACATCGGAACGGCATCGGATCGGATCCGCCAGAATGGGAATCGGATATCGCACCGGATCGGGATATCGCACGGATATCGGACCGAAATCGGGGAACAAACAATCGCATCCGCCACCGTGCCTCTGGGGGCGGAGTGGGCGTGTCATCGGGTCCTGTGCCTGGTCCCTGGAGCCTCAGTCCTGAGGAATAGTTCAGGATCCCGGACCCAAATTTCCTAAATCTCTTGGGGCTTGTCGAATGCCCTCTGGGCTCCGGGAAGTGCTCTCGCATGATTTGTTCGGGCCCATGAGGGCCCAAAGACAGGCCAAGAGGGCTCCGAGATGCTCCCAAGATGGTCCAAGATGGCCCGAGTCGCCGAAAGTTCGTCCCAAGACGCCCGAGATGGCCTCAAGGTGGCCTCAAGATGGCCCAAGAGGCCTCCAAGACGCCGCAAGAGGCCTCCCAAGATGATCCCCAGGCGGCCCAAGAGGCCCCCAAGAGATCCCCAAGAGGCACCCAAGATGAGCCAAGAGGCCCCCAAGAGGCCCAAAAGATGTACCAGGAGGCCCCAGAACGGCCCCCCAAGAGGTCTCCAAACTGCCTCCGAGAGGCCCCCGAAAGACTTCCCACGAGATCCCAGCGCACATCCACTGCACTTCATACCCACAACCCAGGCACGGGGCAGGGCCGCAGGCCATTCGAGAGGCATGAATCCGCCGACCCCTTGTGGGTCTCCAGGCATGTGAGATTGTTCCCCCCCCAGTAAATCCCCCCCTCAATTGGCCCCAAACCGGGATGTTGACCCCCCCTGGGCCCCGGGTGGCCCCGGACCGAACTTACCCGGGGCGGTCTGGGCTCCCTGGGCTCGCTCCTGAGCTGCACGACAGCACTTGACGCCTCCCAAGAAGCCGCCAAGACGGTCTACGAGAACCCCAAGTCGCCGAAAGCTCGTTCCAAGACGCCCCAGATGAGGTCAAAACGGCCACCAACACACCCCACGAAGCGTCCAAGAGGCCTCCCAAGAAGCCTCCAAGAAACCACAATCTTGAAATTCCCTTGAACATATCCAACTTGTTAACCTTCACGGCGTTGAAAACCGTCCACGAGGCCCCCACGAGGCCCCCAGGACCACCCCAAGACGGCCCACGAGGCTTCCAGGAGGCCCCAAAGACAACCCCAAAAAACTCCAACGTGGCCCAAGAGGCGCCCTAGACGGCTCAAGAGAGCTCCAAGACGGCCCCAAGAAGGGCCCAAGAGACGGACCACGAACCACGAATTCCAGCGCTCCGCCCAACGAAGCTCTCCGGAGGACCCAAGAGGCCCCCAAGCGGCCCCAAGAGGCCCCCATGAGGCACCCAACAGGCCCCAAGGAGCCCCAACGAGGCTCAAAAGAAGCTCCAAAACGGCCCCCAAGACCCTTCGAAACTGCCTCGAAGAGGCCCGGTATAATCCTTGCTGGACAATTTTTTGACACCCTCGGCGTGCAGCGGGAAGCCGTCTCGGAGCCCACTGGGGGCCGTCAGGGAACTGATCGGGACGAAGCGTGGGTCCCGGAAAATGCGATAACATCAACGAGGCAACAGGAGCGCCGTGTCATGATTCGGACAAGCCTCGTGGAATGCAGTCCTGGAGGCTCAGTAGTTTATGGATGGGTCGGCGGATGTGGCGTAAGCCTATCGAATCTTTGGAGGTCCGCGCGGATTTCTCGGATCGGCGCTGGAGCCCGCGCGCTCCGCGCATCAATGGGAGGGGTTGTGCTTAGATCCTAGAAGTCAGAGCGAGGAGCTCCGAAAGTTCCATGTTCAGGTCATTCTTTGTTCCTCGACGACCGGAACGACATGGCCTTGGTTGGCGTTAAAAATCGTCTGGGCATTTTTTCACCATTTCCAGCTCGGCATCTTGAAAATCATTTTTCTACCATTTTTAGATCTCAACATAAAAATTAGAAATGCTAAAAAAATGAATCATTTTTATGTCATTTCCGGACGATTTTTTTTGTCATTTCCAGGTCAGATCTCTACCGTACGAGTACTACCGTCAGATCTCTACCGTAAGAGCGGAAAGTTGGAAATGGGAAAAAAATGCCCAGACCATTTTTAACGCCAACCAAGGACATGGCCCATCTCCGTGAGGGGCCACCATCTCGCTGCGGGCCGCTCGATTCGCCGACGGCCCCGGCGGCGCCCTGCCGCAGCCGCCGAGCGCCCGCAGCCGCGGAGCGGCGCCCTGCCGCGGCCGCCGTCGGCGGGCGGAGCGGCGGCCACGACAACGTCGGCGCCGACGGCGGCGCCGAGCTCTCCGTGGACGGCGGCGGCATCGTCGGCGTCGACGGCCCGCAGCGAGGGCGACGCCGTCGACGTCGGCGTGGACGGCAGGGACGCCAACGCCGAACGTCGATGCCGACCACGATCGGGGAGACGCAAGACTCGAACGCGGGGGACTCGGTTTGGCTTCACAGGGCCATCCTGAAAATGACGAGACCTTACCTGGACCCCTTGACGCGATCTCCTGCTACAGACATCCCACGGAAACTGGACCGTCAAATCTAAGACGCGCTCGTCAAGACGCGCCGGCAAACCCGAGTTCTGGCGTACTTCGGGCGGGTGGTGATGGGGGGTGACCACAATTTGGTGTGAAGTAAAAGGCCCCGAAGGGGGCCCTTTAGAGCTACTTTGAAGCCCCTGTTGGCTCCCAAAGGGGCCCTCAAGTGCCCCTCTTGGGCTCTTTTCCACCCCACATTTAATTCGACCCCCCAGTACCACCCGCCCGTCAAACATCTGGGACGCGCTCGTCAAACGGCGCTGGTAAACCCGAGTTCTGGCGTACTCGAGTAGGGAGGATTGCATCGACCCCCGATCACCCATGGATCACCGATAGGGCTCTGATAGCAACACCCCGGCCAGGAGTGTGCGGATATGCTATCGGAGCTGATCGCCGATCTAGATCGGCGATGCATCGCCGATGCCTGGTCGATGTTTCCCCCTTCTGCCAGTCTTGCAGTGCGGGCGCGGCCGCAAGAAACCCTCGCAAAAAAATCCAACCCTGAAAACCCGCGCGCGATGCACATCTGAGGGGAAACCTGGAAGACCCTGAACGCAACAGCTTCTTCCACGGCCGCGGGAATGCACCGCGCAGCGCGGGGAGCGAGGAAACCCAGGACACCCCGACGAAAAGCAGATGGTTTCTGGATGCGCGCCCCAACTAGGAGGAGGAGGAGGAGGAGGAGGAGGAGGAGGAGGAGGAGGAGGAGGAGGAGGAGGAGGAGGAGGAGGAGGAGAAGGAGGAAGGAGGAGGAGGAGGAGGAGGAGGAGGAGGGGGAAAGGGAGGAGGAGGAGAGGGAGGAGGAGGAGGAGGAGGAGGAGGAGGAGGAGGAGGAGGAGGAGGAGGGAGGAGGAGGAGGAGGAGGAGGAGGAGGAGGAGGAGGAGGAGGAGGAAGGACGCGGAGGAGGAAGGACGAGGAGGAGGAGGCGGACGAGGAAGAGGAGGTGGAAGAGGAGGAGGGGGAGGAGGAGGAGGAGGAGGAGGAGGAGGAGGAGGAGGAGGAGGAGGAGGAGGAAAGGGAGGAGGGGCAGGAGGAAAGACGACGTGTCCCTGGCACGACGTCGATGGCGTCGTTGACGGCGGCGCTCCCATAGGCGGCGGCGGCGTCAAATGGCGGCGCGTCTCCTGGCGCCGCAGGCGAGACGCACCTCCCCGCCCGTGGGGGGCGACGCGCTGCTGCCGCAGCGGCCTTCCTGGGGTGCGCGGGGGCGTAAGGCGCTCCGCCCCCTCCAAAACCTCCTCCACAACTACACCGTCTGAATACTACTCTCCTCTCTCCCCTGGTGACGTTCCGGAAAGATTCGGCCCCCCTCCGCGTACTGGGCTTTTGTACGCAAGATTATTGGGAAACCGGTTTTCGCTTGGACATGTTCCACACATGTTTCTTGGGGTGTTGGTTTTCTTCCCACCCGCGCCGCACCCGGGTCTCACACCTCCCTACATCCTCCCTCCTCCTACATACTGGGCACACACATGAGACACACAATCAGGTACAACCTCACAGACATCATACACAGAAACTAGACGCGCCAGACGCATGGCATGCATGTAGGATTCGCAGCGCATGGCAGGCGTGCCACTTCCTCGACACCGCAGAAGGTGCGCTGGAGGTGGGGGCGCTATCCGCTTCGGGTTCCAAGCGCGTGTCGGGCGTGGCGCTTGTAGGCTCGCAGGGCGTGGCAAGCGTGGCGACTCCTCGACGCCACTGGGGGTGCGCTGGGGGTGGGGGCCTTCTGCGTTGCAGGCTCGCGGGGCGTGGCAGGCGTGGCAGTTTCTCGTCGCCGCCGGGGGTGCGCTGGGGGGTGAGGCGCTATGCGCTGCAGGCCCGTCGGGCGTGGCAGGCGTGGCATTCCCCCGACGCTTCTGGGGGTGCGCTGGGGGTGGGGCGCTATGCGTTGCACGCTCGCGGGGCGTGGCAGGCGTGGCAGGGGCGTGGCAGGCGTGGCATTTCCTCGACGCCACTGGGGGTGCGCTGGGGGTGGGGGCGCTATGCGTTGCAGGCTCGCGGGGCGTGGCAGGCGTGGCATTCCCCCGACGTTTCTGGGGGTGCGCTGGGGTGGGGGCGCTATGCGTTGCACGCGGCTCACATGGCGTGGCAAGCGTGGAATTTCCTCGACGCAACATGGGGGTGCGCTGGGGGGGGGGGGGGGGCGCTACGCGTTACAGGCTCGCGGAGCGTGGCAAGCGTGGCATTTCCTCGACGCCACAAGGGGGTGCGCTGAGGGTGAAAGCGAAATTCGCTGCAGGCTCGCAGGCAGTGGGTGCGCTGGAGGTGGGGGCGTTATGCGTTGCAGGCTCGCGGGGCGTGGCAGGCGTGGCATTTCCTCGACGCCACTGGGGGTGCGCTGGGGGCGGAGGCGTCATGCGTTGCAGGCTCGCGGGGCGTGGCAGGCGTGGCATTCCCCCGACGCCACTGGGGGTGCGCTGCGGGCGGGGGCGCTATGCGTTGCAGGCACCCGGGGCGTGGCATTTCCTCGACGCCACAGGCGGTGCGCTGGGGGTCGGGGCGTCATGCGCTGCAGGCTCGCAGGGCATTCGAAGTGGGCGCTCGGGGCACGCCGCTGGCTTTCTGTTGAAGTGTCCTGTATGTGACACAGCTTGGCAGGAATGGCACTTTCCAACTTCATTCCACCGCCACACCAGCTCTCGACCTCTTCCCGGGTGCCCAAGTCGTCTTCCCATGGCGCGACTGGTGCGGCACTTCCATGACCCTTGAGAGGTGCGCGTGGGGCGGGGGGGGGTGCGCGGGCGAGAACTGCAAGCTGGCTCGGCGCGCCTGCGCTCTTACACAGGCGCTCCTGAATCCTACTTCACGGCAGCGCCTTACCTGCAGCCACGCCCCCCGATATTGCCGTGGACGCGCAGACACATCCGTGTCTGGAGATGAAAACTGCAGTGGTTCAGATGGGCGGCGAGGTCAGCGTGGAGACCTCGCGCAGATGCGGCAACGGAGTGGCGCACTCCGCTTTGAATGCGTACCGCCGCCAGCTCAATAATTGGTGGCCCGATGCGCTCCACGCGAAGTACTCCGAGATGAGCGACGACGGCAAAGAGGCAGTGCCTGGTGGCGTCCCTGCGGAACCCTGCGTCGGGCGGATTCCCCCAGGAGGCTCTTTAATACGACGACGGCGGCCCGCCAGCGAAGGCTCGGCGAGTGCGCGGCGCCGGCAGCGCGGCTGCTGACACAGAGGCTCCCTCCGCAGCCTTCGCCACGCCCATGAAGGCTACACCGACGAAAGCCGCGCCAACGAAGGCCCCGCCCACGCAGACTTGCACTCCGCAGCGGTCCCCGGCCTTGCTGCCGGCCACCTCTGTTCACTCCACCGGCACCCCTCGCATTCACAACTCCTGGGCCCGCGGAGGCGGACGGGCGCTGGTGGCAAGGATCTTGGTCACGGAGCCTGCGACAGTCGATAGCGGTGACCTGTTTGCGCGCTCAGGCGGATGAGAAAGCTGTCGGATGGTACGAGTCGGTTGCAGAGAAACGAGCGGATGATCCGCTGCACCGACCGTCCAAAGGGGGTGCCGATACCAACTTGAGGCAAGCTCTCAACAGGTACTCCAACGGCCACCCGAACTACAAGATGGATGTACCTACTCTTCGTCTGTTCGCAAGCTTCACGTCAGCTTTCATCACGCCCGACATGTTAGAAGTATGTGGGGTTCCTTGGTAGCGTAATTTCGAAATGTGGCTCTCGCTGGAACGCTGGCCTCATGTTCGGGCTACCGTTCATTCCGAATCGTGCTCCCGCTGCAACGCTGGCCTCATGCCCACGCTTCCGTTCGTTCCGAATCGCATGCCCGCTGCAGCGCTGGCGTCATCATTTCCAGCGCCATGCCACGGCATGATTGTCGGGTCTTCCAAATAGGCCCCAAAATCTAGAAAATGGCCCCTCGAAGAAACAATCGAAAGTGATTACACATTCGGTGTCGACTCGCTGATTTCTTGGGCCGCGGACCCCCCTCGCTTTGGCGCGTCACCACGCCATGCTATGTCAGATTGTCCTCATGTCCGCGCTTGGGTTTGTGTTCAAAATGCGGCTCTCGCTGAGGCGCTGGCCTCATTTTCGGGCTACCGCTCGTTCCGAATAGTGCTCCCGCTGCAGCGCTGGCCTCATTTCCACGCTTCCGCTCGTTCCGAATCGTGCTCCCGCTGTAGCGGTGGCGTCATTATTTCCAGCGCCCTGCCACGGCATGGCTTTCGGTCCTTACATGTACGTAGGCACCAATATCTAAAACATGCCCCCCCCCCGAACAAAAACATCGGAAATTATTACACAATCGGTGTCAAGTTTTTGATTTTTTGAGCCGCAGATGCCCCCAGATGCCTGCCGCCACTGCATGCAATGTCAAGCTACGCGTCCTCATTCCCGCGCATCCGCGCTTGGGCTTGTTTGTCAAAATGCTGTTCTCGCTGACAAGCTGGCCTCATACTCGGGCTACCGCTCGTTCCGAATCGCGCTCCCGCTGCAGCGCTGGCCTCATTTCCGCGTTTCCATTCGTTCCGAATCGTGCTCCCGCTGCAGCGCTGTCGTCATTAATTTCCAGCGCCCTGCCACGGCATGGCTTTCGGTCCTTACATGTACGTAGGCACCAACATCTAAAATATGTCCCCCCGACAAAAAACATCAGAAATGATTACAGTTGTTGATTTTTTGAGCCGCAGATGCCCCCATTGGGCGTCGCCACTCCATGCAATGTCAAACTACGCGTCCTCATTTCCGCGCATCCGCGCTTGAGCTTGTTTGTCAAAATGCTGCTCTCGCTGACAAGCTGGCCTCATTCTCGGGCTACCGCTCGTTCCGAATCGCGCTCCCGCTGCAACGCTGGCCTCATTTCCGCGCTTCCGCTTGTTCCGAATCGTGCTCCTGCTGCAGCGGTGGCGTCATTATTTCCAGCGACATGCCACGGCATGGTTTTCGGTCCTTACATGTAGGCACCAACATCTAAAACATGCCTCCCGACAAAACTAATCGGAAATGATTACACATTCGGTTTGATTCATTGATTTTTTGAGCCGCAGATGCCTGCCGCCACTGCATGCAATGTCAAGCTACGCGTCCTCATTCCCGCGCATCCGCGCTTGGGCTTGTTTGTCAAAATGCTGCTCTCGCTGACAAGCTGGCCTCATTCTCGGGCTACCGCTCGTTCCGAATCGCGCTCCCGCTGCAGCGCTGGCCTCATTTCCGCGTTTCCATTCGTTCCGAATCGTGCTCCCGCTGCAGCGCTGTCGTCATTAATTTCTAGCGCCATGCCACGGCATGGTTTTGGGTTCTTCCATATAGGTCCCACAATCTAGAAATTGCCCCCCCCCCCCCCCCGGAAACAAAATCTGAAGTGATTCCACATTCGGTGTCGATACATTGTTTGACTGCGGACCCCCCCCACTTTGGGGCGTCGCCACGCCATGCTATGTCATGCTACGCGTTGATCGTCAACACCATGCTATGCCATGTAATGCCAATCCATGCTGCGACATCCGCTTGTGCGAATAAAGGAAAAATCTACGCCATGGTAAGGGATGGGAGGGAAGGGCGGGACGTCAAGTATGACGCGAGCGCACCTAGCTTGCCCTCCCCCCCTCCCCCTCCTCCCCCTCTTCCCCCTCCTCCCCTTTCACAATCACACAATCTGAATATACTACTCTCCTCTCTCCCCTGAGGTCTGCCCTGAAGATATCCGGACCCCCTCCGCGTACTGAATTTCTTACACACAGGATTGCCGGGAGTTTGGTTTTGAGATGTGCTTTTGACAATCCGATTCTTTTCGGTTCTTCAAAATGTTGCTCCCGCTGCAGCGGTGGCCCCATTTCTGCGCCTCTGCTTGTTCCAAATCGTGCTCCCGCTGCAGCGCGAGCGTTTTTGGTCCTTCCAATGAGGGCCCCAAAATCTACAAGAATTGCCCCCCGGAAAAACCATCGGACGTGATTACACATTCGGTGTCGATTCGAGGATTTTTTGGGCCGCAGACGTTCGTCGTTTGCAGGAAGTATCAAGCGGGAGCCCTGCTTCTGCTTTCAGAAGGAGATGTTGAAAGCGGAGCCAGCGGGTGCTCTCCATCGGCCCCGCCTTGTGTGGAGCTTTTCGGGGAGCCGAAGGAGCTGGACATGGAGCCACGACTCCAGACCGGCCCAGGTCTCTCGACGACGATCCACTTACCCTCCAAGGAACCTGGCGCCATGCCATGACATGCTGCGCGGTGTTCTGTTCTGCGCCGCTGTGCGATGCCATGCTTTGCGTTGCAATGCTTTGTGACGCACTGCTTCACTGCGCAATGCCACGCCATGCTATGGCACGCTACGCAATGCCGTGCTCGCGTACCCTCTCGCGATCATTGCCCTACTCGACATCCGACTGTGCGAATAGAGAGGAGATCTACACCATAGTGAGGGATGGTAGGGAGGGCTAGGACGTCAGATATAACGCGAGCGCGCCTAGCTTATCCTCCCTCCTCCCCCTCCTCCCCGTTCCCCTCCTCCCCCTCCACCCCCTCCTGCTCCACCCCTCCCCCCCCTCCTCCTCCTCCTCCTCCTCCTCCTCCTCCTCGTCCTCGTCCTCCTCCTCCACCGCCTCCTTCTCCGCCTCGAGGGGAAGTGAAGGGGCAACTGGAGATCCTATGAACGTCGGACACACGTGGGATTTACGCGGCGTTCACGTCGAATTGGGCCGGACTTGCGTTGATACACCGCCCAGCGAGCGCCGTCCCATGTCTGAGGGCGCAGACGTGCGGACGAGATGATACAACAGTGGCGCGCCGCACGGGGCCTCCAGGATGTCCTCCACAGAAACTCTGAGGGCAAGTCGATCCTCCGCGATCGAGGACGGGAGGATCGAGGTGGGCCAAGATCTCCGACGGCATGGTGTTGCAATCCGGGCGTGTTTCCTCGACTTCAGCCTGTGGATCCCCCTGTCGGGCCCCGCGGCCCCCACAAGTGGACCCTGGAGGGAAACCTGACTCCAGGGAAGGAAGGGATCAGAAACCCGGGGGCCACGGACAGAACAACACATGTCATAATACGTCTGGGAAGAAGGAGGGCGAATAGGAGGATCGAGCAGGAGGATCGAGGGTCGAGGAGGACGGGGAGGAGAACGATCATCGAGGAATGGGACGAGGAAGATCGAGTGGGGGGAGGGAGAGGAGGAACATCGACGAGGGCGATACGGAAGATCCCTGAAGCTATTAGTCAGGGTGATGCTGATGGTGATGATGATGCTGATGATGATGATGATGCTGATGCTGATGCTGCTGATGCTGGTGATGCTGCTGATGATGAATATGATGATGCTGCTGCTGATGATGATGACGATGTCTTCAATTGTCGATCACTTTCGGGATTCGAGGGCCAGGGGTCTCCGTGAGCCGCGACAGGACTCTACAGAACTGCGCCATCCGATCGCCTTTCTCGTCTCCCTCACCTTTATACTCATCCTCGTGCTCCGCTTCGATATCGCCCTCCTCCCCGTCCTCCTCCTCCTCCTCCTCCTCCTCCTCCTCCTCCTCGTCGTCCTCCTCGTCCTTCTCCTCCCCCCATCCTCCACCATTCATTTCCTCAGCTCCTCCTCCCCCTCCTCCTCCTCCTCCTCCTCCTAAACTCCCCCTCCTGGATCCGATCCTCATCCTCCTTCTCCTGCTCCTGCTCTTCTATGCCCAGGCATCGAGGATCTGGGTCCTGAGCGAACTTCCATCGCTTGGGCTCTCTCGAGGCCTCTGGGACCTTCTAGGCCGTCGCAGTCGACGTCGGCGTCCACGGGGGCGAAAGCGACGATTTCGTTTCGAGAAGAGGCGACGGACGACGACGACGACGACGACGACGACGACGACGACGACGACGACGACGACGACGACGACGACGACGACGACGGCGAGGACGACGACGACGAGGACGACGACCAGATCTCGACTTGTCCTCCTCCCAAGCCTGCCTGGCTTTCCCCTCCCCTCCGCTCCTGGCCACCGCATGTCTCCACACCAACCACTCCAATACGGTCAGGCAGCCTCCCAACCTTCAGGGTGCGAGGAGGAGGAGGAGGAGGAGGAGGAGGAGGAGCAGGAGGAGGAGGGGGGGGGAGAAGGAGGAGGAGGAGGAGGAGGAGGAGGAGGAGGAGGAAAGGAGGAGGGGAAGGAGGAGGAGGAGGAGGGGGATGAGTAGGGGGAGGGAAGAAAAAGGAGGAACGAGGAGCGAAACGGAGGGAGGAGGGAGGGAGGGAGGGAGCAAGGGCAGGAGGAGCAGGAAGGAGGCGTTGGGGGAGGAGGAACGATCCTCAAACGACCCCCCGTGATTGCATTGGAGCACCTCCTGCCGTCGACGTACTGGCCACAAGAGCGTGGGCCAATCACTCTGAGACCCTTCACCGAAGACCCAGTGGGGGTGCCCCAATCACACAGAGAACACCCCAAGGTGGAGAGCCCACACGCGAAGAGCATGAGGGTACCCATTCAAAGCGAGGGGGTTTGCCTTGGCCCTCGTGGCAGCGGTAACTACTTGTCCTACTTCACGGCCTCGCACAACGCATCTCCCCCCCTCTCAACGGCAAGCGTGGGATGGCGAATAGGCGCCGGATCGAGACCGTCCTCGTCTGACGAGTTGAGCTGGAGGCTCTGTTCGTCCCCGAGCGTTAACCTTGCAAGCCACCCTGATCCCAAATCCTCATCCTCATCCGTCTCCACTCCCCTTCCCTCTCTCTCTCTATCACCCCTCCTCCCCCCTCTACCCTGTCTTCATGCCCCCGTGCCTACACCGTGAACCTTGGTACCCTCCTCCTTCTTCACATACTGCTCACTTCCTCTTCCCGGCAGACCCACGCTCTTCTTCTCATCTTCCTGCACCTCGTATGCATCTTCATGGTCGATCACAATTCTGCTCCTCCTCCCCTTCGACCTTCTCCGCGACCTCTGTCAAACGCTGCAATGTACAATCAGTCCAAGTCGACCGTCAGCCCTACACGAACGAACACCACGAACGCCGGCCATCATGAGGACGCCATTGCGCATTCAAAGCCGAGGAACGTTTAGGGGCTGTGGGGGGGTGAGAGAACGTTCCTTCCGTCCTCGTTCTGCTTCTCGTCTTTCTGTTGCTCCTCTTTCCCCGCAACCGCCCCCTCGACGTCCTTCCCCCAGGCACACGCTGAGATGGATCGGGGAAAGCATCCTTCCCCGAAACAAGAAACAGATGCCGCCGGATCTGGCGACGGCCAGCACCGATCTCGCACGAAAGCGGGACCCGTCGCTAACCCACGCGCCTGAATCGATGATCGCATTCCCTCGGTTCCTCCCTCGTCCTTCTCCTCCTCCTCCTCCTCCTCCTCCTCCTCCTCCTCCTCCTCTTCATCCACTTCTTCATCCTCCTCCTCCGCCTATTCCGCATACTGCTGATCAGGCTCTGGCCGTAGTCCGTAGTATACACCAAGTCGTCCGGTCTGCCAAGGCGCTCGGTGTATAGACTTCCCAGCTCCCCAATATGTGGAGCGCTGGAGCGTCTTCTCACCGAGATTCCTCGCCGAGCACATCGGCTCCTTTGTTAACCGAGCGGCGCGGTGCAGGTGTCGAGCCCATCCGTGGCTCTTCAGGCCTCCTCGAGTCGATGGAGTCGGATGAACACGCCGCATCGCCGATGCATCGGCGACAGAGGCGATGAGTCGGCACCGACGGCGTGGAGAAAATCGGGCTACACATCCAGCCGCATCGGTACCGCATCGGCCATGCGGCGCGATCCGCCGACCCCAGCTGCTCGGACCCCATCTGGGAGGCGTAGGATGTACACACCGAGTCCCTTCGCCGAGCGCCTCGGCTCCTCGGCCGGCCGGCCGGCGCGGTGCATGCACCGAGGCCAGGCCCGCTGGATGGGGTCCGACCCCATCTGCTCCGACACCCACCCAGGACGCCTACCGAGTATGGGCGCCACAGCCCCCAAACTGGGGGAACGCTGGAGCGTCTACAAACCGAACTCCTCTGCCGAGCGCTATGGCTCCCCAGCCGACCAGACGACGTGGTGCAACAAATCGAGCCCCTCCGCGGCTCGCCATCATTCCAGCTCAGGCCCCCCCCTCCCCCTCTGAGCCAGTCCCCCTCTATCACTCCCTCTCGGAGAAGGAGCGAGGCGGGGAGAAGGAGGAGGAGGAGGAAAAGGAGGAAGAGGAGGAGCAGCAGCAGCAGCAGGAGCAGGAGCAGAACGAGGGAGGATGAGAAGGAGGAGGAGGAAGAGGAGAAGGAGGAGGAGGAGGAGAAAGAGGAGGAGGAGGAGGAGGAGGAAGAGAAAAGGGAGGAGGACCAGAAGTGGGGATGAGGAGGATGAGAAGGATGATGAGGAGGAGGATAGGTGAGGATCGAGGAGGGGGCCCCTCCCTGGAGCAGGAGCCGGGCCCGCGGGCACTCTCTCTGGAGAGACAGGGGGAGAAAGAGAGAGAGAGAGAGAGGCCATAACAAACAAAGAGAGAGAGAGGAGGAGGAGGAGGAGGAGGAGGAGGAGGAGGAGGAGGAGGAGGAGGAGGTGGAGGAGGAGGAGGAGAACGAGGGAGGAGGAGGAGGAGAACGAGGGAGGATGAGGAGGAGGAGAACGAGGAGGAGGAACGAGGAGGAGGAACGAGGATGAGGCCTCGCCCTGGAGGGAGAGAGGGCGCGAGGGAGGGAGCGAGAGCCCCCCGATCCGCCCGCCTGCCGTTCCCGCCCTCCTGTGCTGCTGCTCCGCCCCCGTGGGCGGATGGACGAGGAGGAAGACGAGGAGGACCGGGAGGCGCTCGCCCGCCCCCCTTTTCTCCACCCCCCGGGTCCCCCTCCCAAATTCACCCCGCCTCCGTGACGACGCCCTCCTCCTCCTCCTCCTCCTGCTCCTCCTCCTCCTTCCCTCCTTCCTTCCTTCCTTCCTTACTTCCTCCTCCTCCACCTCCTCCTCCTCCTCCACCTCCTCCACTTCCTCCTCCTCCTCCTTCGTTCTCCACCTCCTCCTCGTCCTCCTCGTCGTCCTCCTTCTCATCTCCCTCCCTCTTCCTCCCGCCTCCCTGCCCTGCGGTTCCTCTCCTGCTTACTCGGCCTCGCCCTCCTTCTCATCCCACTGCCTCCCTCCACTTGCTTCTCCTCCTCCTCCTGCTGCTATTCCTTATCTTCGATCCTCCCGCTCCCCCACTCGGCTTGCCCGCTTCACCTGTCGACCAAGTCCCCAGCACAAGCTCGTGACGCGTGCCATTGAGTGGTCCCTGAGGCCCAGAAATGGTCCCCCGTTTCCTGCCCCCCGTTTCCATCATATGTGCTCTGCGACTCACCAAAGATGGGAACCAAAGATGTACTCAAAACGAAACTCCAGACCCTTCTAGATCGTTTCCCTTTGTTCGGCGTGACCTAAGCATCCCGTGGGTTGGGGATCTTCTGACCCGGGTCAATCCAGACAAGGGTCAGCAGGAAACCAAAAACTGCAATGCAAGAAAAAAACTGCAACGCAGAACTTCGCAAACCCCGGTCAGCCAATATGCGCGGCCGCCTCGCGGCCACGAGCGGCTCGCTAACCCGGGTCCACCAGAGGGGGTCCTCGCAGGATCCTGCAGGATCCGGTGCCCTGGCTAACCCCCGTTTGCATTGACCCCCGTCTGGAGGAGGAGGAGGAGGAGGAGGAGGAGGAGGAGGAGGAGGAGGAGGAGGAGGAGGAGGAGGAGGAGGAGGAGGAGGAGGAGGGGGGGGAGGAGGAGAGGGAGGCCGCGGCCGATAACCGATAACCGAACCACGTGTGCCCACGTACTGTGCTCGGACCTGCGCCACCGAGAAGGTCGGGCGGGCCCGAGGACGCTGGGCCTCCCAAACCTCCGGGATTCGCGCCCGCCCCAGCAAGTCCAGAGGAGCCCTGCACCGTCAGAAGCATTGTCCTCCTCCTGCTCCTCTTAGGAGGCAACTGCTGGGAGGTTTTCGTCGGAAAGATTAAGGAGGATCAAGCCCCATTTGGGGGCTATTACGCCGGAGTGGGCCTCGGAGTAAGCGGGATTAAACCGGATTAAGCGGGATTAAGCCGGATTGAGCGGGATTAAGCGGGATTAAGCCGGATTTCGGACCAGGGCGAAAACAGAATTTGACCTCCCAGGAGTTGCATCCGAACTCCTCGACCTCGGGCGGCTGTTTGGAATGAGTCGGGCACCCTCAGAAGCCTCTCGGCGAAGCGCGGCCGATTGACAGAATCCACCAAACATCCGACGTCTTGATTTTTTCAGCGCGGGGCCCCGGGAAGTCCCGACCCCTCCCCTGGCACCACATTTTCCTCAGAGGTCAAATGTTTGACGGTCCCGGGGCCTGGCGAAGGCCTCCATCGGCCGAAAACGGCCAAACACTGTCCGTCGTGACTTCTGCAACGACGCGAGCGCATCCAGGAACACCTCCGGGAGTCCCACGCTCTCGGCGAGGTCGCTCACCGACAAGCGCGCGCGAAGGGAGACGACGGCGGTGATGGCGACCGCGACTGTCCGAGGTCCCAGAGGCTTTCGAGGGTCTCCGACGCCCCCAGAGCCCTGTGTGGAGGAACAGCAAGCACGCACAAACATGAGCTCTCGGAGGCCCGCACGGATGTCCTGGATCGGCGTTGAACCCCTCCCCTGGCGCGCAGTGCGTGCCAGGGGGAGCGCAGGAAGCGCTGAAGGTTCATGTTGATGCAGTGTGCTCTCCTTGAACTCCCAGGAGCCTTTTTGGACACTTCCATGAACTTCTTGGGGAAACCCTGGATCCTGGGACCTCGAAGTCCTCGAATCCCTCAGCCCTCCTCCGGCCCGGCCCCTTCCCTGGGACCGGCTGCTCTTCCGGGGATATGATGGTTGACGGCCCCGGGCTCCAAACAGACTCCGGGAGTCTCAGACCAAAGGCCAAGAAAGAGGAGGAAGAGAAGGAGGAGGAGGAGGAGGAGGCCGAGGAGGAGGAGGAGGAGGAGAGAGGAGAGAGGAGAGAGGAGGGGGGGAGGAGGAGGAGGAGAGAGGAGGAGGAGGAGAGATGAGGAGGAGGAGGAGGAGGAGGAGGAGGAGGAGGAGGAGGAGACTGGAGACTTGCTTCGAGCCGCCGAAATCAGCACCGAATCGGGACACCGGATCGGATCGGAATGCGCGTCGAAGCGGGCTGCATCGCTGGCACGGAGCCGAGAGCGAACCAGATTGGCCGCGCCAGGATGCACAAAAACGCCTCTGCGAAAACCAGGCGTCGTGGGATCGCCGCAACATCGGAATCGAACAGGATCGGGACACCCAGAATCGATCTATCGAATCGGACTCGATGTCCAATCGGACCGATCGGATCGAAGTGGGTCCTGAAAGTTCACAGCGACAGCTACGGAATCGTCCAGCGGGGCCTCCAAAGGCGGCCTCGTGGCCACGGCAGGAACCGCGCCGAAGTCCTGGTCGCGACGGGGCGCGGTGCCCCTGGGTGGTCGTAGCTGGCCCCAGCATGGGCCAACTGGCCCAGCTTGAGGAAGACATCTTCTCCATTTCTTCGGGGTCCTCAAATCCCTAGGACGGGTGCGATGTATATTCCGAGTAGGAAATCGGCTACAGAATTGATTTACCCCCGAATTGATTTCCTCGCCGAAGTCAGGACAACAAATCGTATAACCACATTTCGACGCTTGATTCGTGGATTCGACGAGAAAATCGATTTTGGGGTAACTCAATGTCGCTTGGTCGTCCAAGGACCTCGGTGTATAACCGCCCCAGCGTCTTGAGCGGCGGGATACTGGGATGGCTATACAAATACCTAACTCTTTCGCCGAATGTTGTCGCTTCTCGGCCGACCGAACGACGTGGCGTGTACATCGACGGCGGCGGCTGCCAGTTTTGGACAGAACAAATTGGACATCGTACGTACTGTTTGTACCCTACCCATGCCCCTGACTCTCTACCTTCCACACCTTCCAACCAGCAGGTGGCTGATTTAGTGATCTTCTCGATGGACAGCAAATGACATAAACAACATACTTCGGAACTCAACAAGGATCTCTTGGATCGGCGCGACCCCCCTCCCTGGCGCGCGGAGCGCGCCAGCGGCGGCGCCGGAAGCGCAGCCGATTCAAGAATTCTGCGCAGCGGAAGGTAACCATGTTGTCGGAAGGCATGGAGCGTGGGCCAGTTGTTCATCCTGAGTCATTCTTGACGGTCCCATGGGCCCGGCGAGGGCCCCGGAGGCCGAAAACTGGCGAAAGCCTCCCGTCCTGATTCTCGTCATGACTCGAGCATGTGCCACGTGACTATCGGTCCTGGACCCCCGCGGCCCCTGCCGCGCGCACCTCTGGATCCTCCGGCGCGGCTGCCGCCCGGAGATCGCGCCGAGGCCGCCGCCGGCAGCGGCCAACCTTGCCGCGGCAGCGCGCGGCCAGCTCGGCTTGCGGGGGGAGTGAGTGAGGGCAGGCCTGGCCTTCCGAGAAGTTCTCTAAGCCTTCCCCACAGAGTGAGAAGACCAGAAGGCTGCTGAGAAGTCCCGCGCCGCCTTCTGGGAAAAAACTTCCCTCTCACGCCCCCCCCCTCGCTCGCCAGAGGTTCTTCGCGATCACGCCCATGACTGGACTCGCCTCCTCCCTGAGACGGAGCCAGGAGGAGGACAAATCCAGGGGAATATATATATATATATATATATATATATATATATATAATATATACATATATACATATATATATATATATATATATATCAATGATATCCGAGATTCGGCGGCTCTGGAAAATGTTTCGGGCGCCGTGGCATTGTCAGAGCGTTCCGCAACGCTTTGGAGCAGGGCTCGAACTTAACGGTGTTTTCCTGTTTCGTGTTGTTGTTGTGTTCCTTCGTTGTGTCTTCGTTCCGCCTTTGCTGCAAAACGAACTCGACATGAAAACGGAGCACAGACTCGCGCAAACACAGTTTAGGTCAAGTCCTGGTCTGGAACGGATTTATCCTCGTCCTGGCCCCGTCCGACCATAAAAAAGGCAAAGCCTTTGATTATACAAAACGACCATGACTGGCTTCGCCCCCTCCCCCTCCGCCCCCCGCCCTGGTCGCGTCACCAGACAGCGCCAGCGCGAATCGGAATCGTGACTGGCCCCTTCCCCCACACCCCAAACATGTCCGCTATCGCCAGAACGTGAAATCATTTCTTGACGCCGTCGCCGCCGCATTTCCGAAGGACCCTGATGGGCGTTCCTCGTGAACCCCGTCGAGGCGGCAGGGACGCGAAGGGAAAAACAAGGGCAAGGAAATGCGCGGCGGGTTCGTGTTGCGACGACCTGCGCGTCGTTTTCGGACACCGCCTGGATCGTTCACCCGGTAGCGATCGGCGGCCTTTTCGATCGCCAGGCAGATCCGCATTGTCAGCTGTGGGGCCCATGGCGGCGTTCCACCTGGAACGCCCGCGACGGGCTCGTCGACGGGTCGGCACGACACGCACCTACCGTAGAAGAGCTCGCGGCCCCCGAATCCGCAAGATGACGGGCGGAGGTGCCAGGCCGCGCCCATTTCATCCTGGGGCGTGCGGGGGCCCGTCCTGGGAAGGAATGAAAGAACCCACGGGCACACGAGTAAACATACACAAGTCCAAAGGTTCCCCATCATTTTCCATATGCTCTGGGTGTTCGTTTTTCCCCCCACATCCCATCTCTTCCATATGTTCCTGGAATCGGCGATTAGTTGTGTCTGTGTTTTGTCCCCCATGAAGCAACCTGCCCCTCAGATACCTTCAGGGCCTTCCTAGGGAAGGTTTCGTCGAAGCCTCTGAAGCAGGGCCGTTCCCTCGTGAAAGGGAGGGAGCAGGAAAAACGAGAAAAAAGGATGAGGAGGGGAGGGGGCCGAGGAGGGGGAAGGTGAGCAGGGGAACGGCAGCCGCGGGAGAGGGCGCGTTGGGCCGCGACGATTTTCCGTAGCCAGTGGGCACCCCCACCTTCCTCCTCACCCCAAGAAGGAAAAGAGAGAAAAGACAGGGCGCGCCCCGAACTTGAAAAACGACCCAGAGATTTTCCGTCGCAGCACGGCAACAACAATCCGCACGGGCACTCGCAGTAGCCGGGGACGCGGGGAGGCAGGGCGGCCGCGGAGAGAGCGGAGAGGGGGCACGGCGCTCACTGGTGAAAGACTTTCACGGCGAGCGCCCCGGTGCGGCCAGCGAGGGCTGCGGTGCCAAGGCAGTGGACGCGGGGCGACATCACTTCCACATCCGAGGAGCTAAGCCAGGGCTGCATGCGCTGAGAACGCGGGAAGCAAGGTGCTGGCAGTGCGGCAGGACACCCATGTGCTCGTCGCGTGGCCGAGCCGTGCCAGGCTGTGCTGCGCCGGAGAATGCTGGCTGCCGGGGAGATCGGCGGCGATCGGTGACCGCGCGGGGCTGCGCCTGGGCGGGCGCTCTGGGGGGGGGACCCTGACTCCTGATCCGCCCTACTTTGGGCGATTTCGAAAGTAGGGCGGAAATGTCCGCCCTACTTTTGAGGCCCCTTTGAGCGTCGATTTCCGCCCTCGAGGCTCCTTTGGCGTCGATTTCCGACACAATTTTAGGTCGGAAAATCATCCAAAGTACGGCGGATCAGGAGCCAGGGGAGGCTGCCGTGAGCAAGTGCTGTCATCTGGTCCATCATCACGCGGCCGACAACAGGCGTGTCTGCCTCAGCTGGGGCAGGAGGCGCCCGCCAGTGTGCAGGCGGCGGCGGCGGCGGCAGCGCGTGGGCGCCCTGGCCGCGCGGAGGGGGGAGGGAACGGGAAGGCGGGCGGAAGAAAAGGGAGCGGGGCGAGGATTAGGTCGGGCACGTCCTCCTACAGGCAGTTTGCGGCTGACAGTTTCAGAGAGATCAGAGCATCATGCTCATACATTCACTAAAACTCGTCCCCCCCCTGGTGACTTGTTGAAACTATGTTTGACTACCCCTGCTGTAGGGGGCCACGCCCGACTTCAGGCGAGGAGCCCCCCGCCCGACCGGCGCCCGCATTACAGCCGGGCAGGGCGGGCAGCAGGCCCGGCCGCAGCGGGGGTTAAGGCGGTGCGGCGCAGGGCCGGCGAGCGCGGCGGCCGCCGTTCCGCCGGAGGGCGTCGGGAAGGCGGGCCCGCGCAGGGCGAGGGACCTGGGGCGTCTTCGACGTGGGCACCGTGGCGAAGCCCAGGGGCAGCCGCGGCAGTGCGGGGAGGTGCGGCCGGACGCGTGGAGCAAGGGCAGCCGCTGGAGCCAAGAGGCTCCGAGTCTTATGATACCAGGGGGGTGGTCTGAGATTTGTGTTGGGGCTCTGGTTTGTCTTTGAGAGTTCCCCGGGGTCTGGTCAAGAGGCCGCCTTTGAATGGATGGTCTGGGGGTCTACGACTGTTCGTCTGGGAAGGTTGTGACCCCTCCTTGTTTAAAACGAAATCTGGAATACGGCAAGGAGACACCCAGACATGCGATGTACTTATTTTTTCAATACGCGGTCCCTAGAAGCCCCGACCTTTTGCCCAAGCCCGCCTTTCCACCCCGAATCGTTTTCCGACGGTCCAAGTTCTAGGACCCCCAGGAGCCGAGCATTTCAAAGTACCTCCGCACTTATTTTTCGGAGTATGTCACTATCCTTCTAATTGTTGTTCTCAATGTGCGGTGCGTCATTTGCGTCATCGAGTGTAATTCGAGCTTGTTTGCGCGACTCTCCTCCTCCTCCTCCTTCTCCCAGGTACCTACCCCCAGGGGGAAAAAAGCAGACAAAGCAACATAATTCACAACGGCGGGGTGGGGGGGGAGGGTACGTTTGTGTATGTGTTCTGTATGTTTGTCTCTTCCCTCCCACAGGTATCCTGACCCAGAGGAGGGGGAACGGAGAACGAACAAAACGAAAAACACTGCGACGGAGGGGGGTCAGTGTAGTGTGTCGACCCCTGCTCCAGGTGCTGCCCATCAGAAACTCTTACTGGAAGAACCCTTACCGAACGCACCGCTCCGATGAAGGAATCCGTACTGAATGACATAGAATTAACGAGTCCTTGCTGGCGTCTCTACGAAGGACATCTCACTGAAAGCGTTCGTAGTAACCAACCCGTTGTCACAAGCATCCTTACTCAGGATCAGGAACCCGTACGAAGGGATCCTTTCGGAATGAAGGACGGGACCCTTGCAACATTCGTCGCCATCTAGGAGGCATAGTTCCCGAACTACCCAAACGACAAATCCTTTACTAGAGGCACCATTACCAAGGAACCCTTACCACAATAACCATGGAAATCTATTGTTCCTACAGAAATCCTTACTGCAGGGGCAATGAAGGAACCCTTTACTGAAGACATCCCCACTAAGCAAAGTTTGTTAAAGGAAACGTGCTCAACGACTACTGAGAGCATGCTTACTACAAGATTCCTGACCAAGGACTCCTGACAGAAGAGGTCTTTGCTATGGATGCCTTGAACAAGATATCATCACTGACGACGCTTACCCAAGAACACCCATACTAATAAAGGGCTCCTCACTAAAAGGATCCGTCATCAAGAGTCGTTGACCTACGCATCCTTACCCAGACATGCGACGTCCTGATTTTCAGGACGGCGTCCCCAGAAATCTCGACCCTTTCCCCAAGACCAGCGTTCCATCCTGAGTTGTTTTTTGACGGTCTGGAGGCCTGGAGAAGACCCCCAAGGGCCGAAACTAGCGAAAAACTTGGCGTCCTGATTTTTTACGACGCGATTATGTCTGGGTGCCAATCATGTGCACTGAATGTCCTTACTAAGGACCCCATCACCGAAAAAGGAATGCGTAGTAGATGGGAGCCCATCACAACAAGCACTTTCTCATGGAGGATCTCCAGCAGCGGCCCCGGCGGAGGCGCTCGCATGGCGTTCCAAAGGGGAGGGGCATTGGCTGGGCGTTGCGTCGATGTGACACGGGAAGGAGAGAGAGAGAGAGAGAGGAACAAAACTATTGATAATAATCCGGATAAGAAGAATATGAAAAACATACTAATAAGAATAAGAAGAGGAATAATAATAAGAAGAAGAATAAGAAGAAGAAGAAGAAAGAGCGAGAGAGAGAGAGAGAGGGAGAAAGAGAGAGAGAGAGAGGGAGAGAGAGGGAAAGAGGGAGGGAAAGAGAGAGAGAGAGAGAGAGAAAACAACACAAACAACAAAAAATCAATAACAATTTACGAGGGTGCGCCGCTGGATCTCCCCAAGGCGGGGGGGGGGTAGGACCCCCCCCCCCTTCCCCAATCCGTCGTCGGGGACCCCCCCCCATCCCCCTATCCCCGATCCGTCGTCGGGGACCCCCCCCCCTCCCCCCTTTCCCCGATCCGTCGTCGGGGAACCCCTCCCCCCTCCCCCCCTTTCAAGAGGGGGGGGGGGCGTTCCGAACCCCCCCCCCCCCCCCCCCTTTCGCCACGCCGCCCCCTGACTCCGGAACCCGACCCCCGCCACCACTACCCCTAGTCCTCACCCCAACCCAAACCCCTAATCCTAACCCCAACCACTAGCCCCAGCCCCAAAGACTACTCACTACTCATTACTCACTACCCACTACTGACTACTCGCTATCTGCTACTCACTTCTCACTACCCCCTACTCGCTACTCACGATTCACTACTCACAATCCACTACGCACTACCCACCACCCTCTACTCGCTACTCACTACTCCCTACTCACTACTCACTCCTCGCTACCCTCTACTCAATACTCACTATTCGCTAAGCACTACTCACTACACCCTACTCACTACACACTAATCACTACTCATTACCCCCTACCCACTACCCCACTACTCACCACTCACTACTAACTACTCATTGCCCACAAATGACTACTCACTACCCGCTACTCGCTACTCCCTACACAATACTGACTACAAAGTACTCAGTACTCACTACTCGCTACTCCCATACTCGCTACTCAGTACTCACTACTCACTTCCCGCTTCTCACTATTCACTACTCACTACTTACTACTCCCTACTCACTAGTCACTACATAGGCTCTAGTCACTAGTCACAACTCACTAGCCACTAGTCGCTAGTCACTATTCACTACCCACTACTCACCAATCGCTACTCACTACCCACTATTCGCTACCCACTTATTACTATTCACTGCTCACTGCTCACTCTCCCTACTCCCTACTCACTACTCGCTACTCCGTACTCGTTACTCACTAATCACTACCCACCGCTCACTACTGACTACTCTCTATTCACTACTCACTACTCACTACGCCCTACTCGCTCCTCACTACTCACTACTCGCTACTCCCTACTCGCTACTCACTTCTCACTACCCACTGCCACTACCCACTACTCTCTATTCATCACTACTCACTACTCACTACGCACTACGTACTACTCAGTACTCAGTACTCAGTACTCAGTACTCACTACTCACTCCTCGCTACTCACTACTCACTACTCACTACTCACTACTCACTACTCACTACTCGCTACTCACTACGCACTACGCACTACCCACTACTCACTACTCACTAATCACTACTCGCCACCGACTACTCACTACCCGCTACTCACTACCCACTACCCATTACTCCCTACTCCCTACTCAGTACTCACTACTCGCTACTCGCTATTCACTACTCACTACTCACTACTCGCCACTCACTACTCACTTCTCAGTACACACTACTCACTATTCACTACTCACTACTCCCCACTCCCTACTCCCTACTCCCTACTTGCCACTCACCACCCACTACTCACTACCCAATACTCACTACTCACTACGCACTAGCTCACTACTCACTACTCACCACTCCCTACTCCCAACTCCGTACTCCCTACACGCGCGGGGCGAGTCCGACCCCCCCCCCCTTTCCAGCGCCAAGGGGGGGAGGGGGGTTCCGGACCCCCCCCCTTCAAGGGAGGGGGAGGGGGAGAGGGGGGGGGGGTTCTGGACCCCCCCCCCCCTGGGACGGGGGGGATGGGGGGGGGGTTCTGGACCTCCCCCCCCTTTAGTATATTCAGGGAGATCCACTGGCGCACTTTCACAATTTACTCCTGTCTTGTCCCGACTGCTGCGCTGTGGGCGGTGTGAGACTGCAGTCAGCCCCCCCCCCAATTTCCTCCTCTATAGGGGATCCAGGCTCAAGGACTCCGTAACCAAGATCCCTTACCATCACCACCCATACTTCAGAACCCATGACCCAAGGCATCCTTACTAGACACTCCTAGTAAAAAGGAATCGTGGACAATGAACTCGTGCTACAAAGATTCGCGCTGAAGGGATCGCTGAGGCGATCTGTGCGAAAGGTATCACAATGACAGATACCTCACTCAAGGGATCTTTGCTGAGGCTTCCGTGGTAGAGGCATCCTTGCTGACGAATGCTTTCCGACGGCGCCCCCACAAAGGATTCCTCACTACGACGAAGCTTTCTCAGGGTTCCTGCATAGAGGCATCGTTACCAATGAATGCTTACAAACGAAGTCCTTCATACAGGACTCTCACTGGAAAGAATGTGTCCTAAGAAACTTTACTACAAGCATTCGTACTACGAATCTCCAGCAATTGCCTCAGTGGGTGGAGGCATTCACATGGCGTTTCATCAGGGTTTCATTGGCTAGGCGTTGAGTGAATGCGAACGGGGGGAGGGGGGCAGAGAGAGAGAGAGCGAGAAACAAAGAAAGACTCTAACGACTCCTTTTCTGCAGGGCTCCTTACCCATCACCCCTTACCAAAGGCATCATTCTAAAGGAATCCTTACTATTGGAAACAGTCCAAGGTAATCCTTACTACAGAGACCCTTACCGAGGGGACCCTTTGTGCTGCTAAGAGAGAGAGAGAGAGAGAGAGAGAGAGAGAGAGACCCCCCCAGCCTGGCCCTCCAAATCCAACCAGCCCGTCATGGCGTGAATGGTTTAAGGAGTTTTCTCTTCGACCTCCCTTCTTACCCTTCGGAGAGGGGCTCCTCCCCCCAGGCGACGGGCAGCCAACCCGGACCAATGAGACCCCCCACACATCCCTTGTACAAAAACAATAGAACATGCACTTTGCTCCAACTCTGGAGCATGCGGCGCGGGCGCCCCGCGACGACTTGGCGCTGGTGTTTACAAGGGACGCATTTTGCTTGCTGCGCACAGGCCAAGCACCCCTGTCAAGCAAATTTACAAAATACATTTCGCCTCCAAATCTGGAGCTCGCGCAGGCGCTCAGCGACTACTTTGCATCGGCTCTTGACAGAGACGCGTTGCTGCCTGCGCTGCCACGCCTGTGCCTCCAGGGTGCATGGTGCGGGGCATGGTGCACCTGGACACCGTGACGCACATGGCATGTGTGGCGTTCCCGGGCGGCATGCCGAGACAAGGGTGTTACATTTGTGTTGGGAGGGCGGGTGGGAGTGAGCGAGACGGCTTCCAGGCTGAGGGGGGTGTCTTGACCAATCCTCCTGCCACCTCCCCCTGGACCTGGACGGGGCGTTTCGCGAGGGGCTGGAGCGAAAAAGGTTGCCTCGGCGAGAAGGCCACCATCACCGATTTGACTAAGGATGTGGCGCCCCCGAGGGGGGGGGGACGCTAATCCCACCAGCCCTGTAGGGCGTGAGTGGTTCAGAGAGTTTCCTTGTCCATGTTCCTTCTTCCTTCCCCTTCGGGGAGGGGTCGATCACAATTCCCGATGAATTCAACCCCCTTCCCCAGGCGACCCGCAGCCAACCAGGACCAATGAGTGCCCCCGCACTCCACCATCCCTGTCAACAAAACAATCGGACATCCACTTTGGCGCGGAGTCTTGGGTCATGATCGGGGCGGGGCGCCAACACGCTGTAAAAAATACTCCCAAAAAAAAACTCTCGAACGACATCCGGAGAGACTCCGGGTGGCATCCAAGAGGCCCCTGGCCTTTCGATTCGCCCTCCTCCTCCTCCACCTCTTCCTTCCTCATCCGCCTATTTCTCCTCCTACTTCCTCCTCCATCCGTCCCGTCTCCCTCTCCCTACTCATACTCCTCCTCTCGTCATTCCCCCTACATCCTCCCCCTCGTAGGGTGTGACGTCCTACCCAGCCCTATATTCCACTGTTTGCTCCTCCACATCCCTGATCAAGGCAACTCGTTTGGGCATCGTATTTTTGGTCTGCGGGCTCGCGAAGCAGGTCGAAAGCCGTCCGAACACTAGCAGGGCCGCGACTAGGCAGGTTTGGGCATCGTACGCGAAGCGTCTAGAACTGAGTAGCCATCCTTCTTTGATCGATCACCTGCAAGATGGCCCCCAAATGGCCCCCAGGCTCCCAAAAGTGCAGCAAATGGCCCAAAGAGGCACACAGGAGACCCCAAGAGGCTCCAAAGATGCCCCGAAGATGCCTCCCCAAGACACTCAGGAGGCCCCAAGAGGCTCCCCCGAAGCACCCAAGATGCTTCAAGAGGCTCTGGGGACCGCCACGAGGCCCCCTAGACGCCCAAACATTACCCCAAGAAGCTCCCAAGACACATCCGAAGAGACTCCGAGAAACATCCCGAAGGCCACTGCCCTTTCTGTTCGCCCTCCTCCTCCTCCTCCTTTTCATCTTCCTCATCCGCCTGATCCTCATCCTCCCTCCTCCCTTTTTCCTCCTCCCTCCTCCCCCTCCTGCTCCTAGTCCTCCTCGTTCTCCTGGTCCTGCTCCTGCTGCTCCTCCTCCTCCTCTTCCTCATTCAACTCGGGTTCCTCCTCCATCCTTCCCCTCTTGGGATATGACGGCCCCCCAACCTCTCTTCCAGTGTATGCACCTCCACATCCCGAAATCAAGGCAACTCGCCTGGGCGTTGATTCTGGATGGACTGGTGGGCTTACGTGAAGCGTCTAGAGTTCCTACCCTCCGACTGTTGGCAATGGGCTGGAGCTCAAAGGACCATGCCCTGAGGGAAGGCACTGTTCCTGTCGATTGGCAGTTCTCCAAGATCACCGCAGGCGGTCAAGATACCCTCAGAGAGTACATCACCTGTGTCACGGCAGAGATGGAGAGGATAATAAGAACGATGAAGTAGAACATGAGGAGGGAATGAGGCGCGAAATCGCCCAAGGCCCATGTGTCAGAACGCTCCACAATCTCCGGGCCTCGATCTTTGAGTTGTAACAGGCTGATGGGGGGAGAGATGGTCTTTCATGAAAAGAACGGAAGTTCGGGCTTGGGTTCGGGCAGCAGGGAAATCAATAGTTCGAGTTCGAACCCCCCAACCAACGTTCAAAATAAGTTCAAGACGCCCGCCTGGCAAAACTACAACTTTTCCAACAGCTGAACTTTTGGCGTTTTTCGAACTTTGTTTGTTTTTTTTTATTTGAACGTTTGAAGTTATTTCGAACTGTGTTCAACTGTTGTTCCCTACCTAGGCTCTGCCTAGAAGGGTTCTTACTCGCTTGGCTTAAATGGGGCCAGGCAGTGCAAACCGCCCCGGGCGGTTCCCCCAGTCCCCTGGGAGCCAATCAAAAGCAACAACAAAGGTAAAAGCAAACGCGCGGTTCCCCCAGTTGCGCTCCATGGGTGCCAAGCAAAAGCAAAAGCAGAGGCAAAAGTGCAGGCAAAAGCGAAGGCAAAACAAAAGCATAGCATAGCATAGCATAGCGCAGCATAGCATAGCGCAGCGCAGCATAGCATAGCCTAGCCTAGCCTAGCCCAGCATAGCAGTGCGCAGCATAGCATAGCATAGCATAGCATAACATAGCATAGCGCAGCACAGCATCCACTATTGCTGCTGTAGGTGTAGATGTAGGTGTAGATGTAGATGTAGATGTGAGTCTCGCTGTTGATGTAGATGGAGATGTAGATGCAGGTGTAGATGTATATGTAGCTGTAGGTGTATATGTAGGTCTAGATGTAGATGTAGGTGTCGATGTAGATGTGGGTGTAGATATAGATGTAGATGTAAAGAACTCCCCAGTGCCCCGCCCTCATCTCCGTGCCTGCTTGCTTTTGTTGCTGTCTCGGCGACGTGCTGCCTGCTTCTGCTGCTGCTTCACTTACGGCGTGGCGTCGGCGGTTCTGGCGCTACTACTACTACTACTACTACTACTACTACTACTACTACTACTACTACTACGACGACGACGACGACGACGACGACGACGACTACTACTACGGCTACTACTACTACTACTACTACTACTACTACTACTACTACTACTACTACTACTACTACTACTACTACTACTACTACTACTACTACTACTACTACGACTACTACTACTACTACTACTACTACTACTACTACTACTACTACTACGACTACGACTACTACGACTACGACTACGACTACGACTACGACTACGACTACTACTACTACTACTACTACTACTACTACTACTACGACTACTACTACTACTACTACTACTACTACTACTACTACTACTACTACTACTACTACTACTACTACTACTACTAACTACTACTACTACTACTACTACTACTACTACTACTACTACTACTACTACTACTACTACTACTACTACTACTACTACTACTACGATACTGCTACAACTACGACGATGAGGAGAAGGAGAAGGACGGCGTTTACCGCTCCTACTAATGTCCTAGAGGCTCCAGCTCCTAGGTAGGGTCGCACTGGGATATCTGAACTGTTGAACTTTGTTTCCAACTTGTTCCTCGCCGCCGAGCGCTATCTGAACTGTTTCCGAACTTGTTTCCCGCCGCCTAACTGTTTTCGAACTTGTTTCTCGTCGCAGACCTTCTTCCGAAGTTCAGGATTCCAGTAACGTTGAACTTGAACTTTGTAAAAACATTGGCCTCACACCTTTTCCGAACTTAGGATCTCTGAACGTAAGGACTGTTAGCGCTCCCTCTGCCAGCTACAATCCTTGAGGAAACCACATATCTTAAGCATGGGTCGACAGCGGAATCCTCTTGCCGAGCAGCAGCAGCACTGCGAGCCCGAATTTCGCGAAGTGCACTGAGGCACGGCACACACGGATGCAAAAAAGATCGGGCACTGGCACGGCAGCGCGACGATTTCTCTAGCAAAATTGCGCCGCTAGATCTCTGGACCTCTCGGCCGGAAGGGCAGCAGGAGACGTGCCCGGGGTGGGGGCTCGGAAACGATGCGGGCAGCAGCAGCAACTTGCGATCTGTCGACCCGCACGGCTGTACAGCACACTCCATGGTTCAGCGGCATGTGGTCTGTCTGTGCCGCGCAAACGGTCGCGACTCTGAAAATGATGTGGCCGGGGCTCTGCACAAGTAGCAGGGGCTCTGCACACGCGAATGCGCAAACTTGCTTTCGAGCAGGAGGCAGGCGCCACCTTAGGCGTCCCTGGAGAATTCATGACCATGCAGCTTCCCGCGTGACTGCGGGGCCTACTCCCTGTCGCGTTTCCCAGCTTGGCAGCGTCAGGGGTGCGCGCGTCGGCTACTCCTGCGCCTGGCCCCGTCGCTATGAAACGGAGCTCCCCAGCGAGAGCAAGTCTGGGTCGGCAGCCGATAAGGGACCAGGCAATGGTGTCACACAACCCTTACTACCCCTGCTGCGATGCTGAGGTGTGAGTTACGAAGGCACGCCGCCCAGAAATCGCCGCCCTCCCTGGGGAACCCGGGCAGCGCCGCTCGAGGGGAGTCTTGGCCGCGGTTCTAGCTCATACTGGCTGCGTGCGGAAGCTCGCCAATGCGCACCCCCCTCCCCATCCAGAGGCGCGGCACCGCTCCCAGTGGCTACGCCTGGTGAAGCGACAGGGCGGCCAGGGGCGCGACAGGTGCTCACTGACCCAGAGCCCAGAGAATCTAATCTCGAGGCGAGGCCGAGATGTGAGGCTCAGCATGTGCACAACAAGGGCCTGGAAGGCAGAGGAACAGACGGGGCGAACATAAGGAAAACGAGGGGTGAATAGCCTAACGGTTAGCCCCTAGCAAGGCCAGGGCCCAGGCAGAGGAGAGCAGGAGGGGTAGGAGGGGAAAGGATACTCTGCAGCACCTGGCCAATGTGCTTGAAAAACGGTTGTCGATGAAAAACAGCTGGCCGTACTCTGCCACTTGGTTCCCCAAGTCGATGCGACGTGAGGCACGCTGCGGGCGAGACCTGCCGATAAGGTCTACCAAAACGACGCGGTGTAAAAGTCACTGCGGCAGCAGTCGCAGTGACGGTCACCTGTGACACACATGTTTGATAACAGGCACCTACTAGTAGCTGCAAACGGATGCTGATGCTTGCATGTTTCAAGCCTGCCCATGCGCCAATGCACTATCAAGTTCGCTTGCGTTGATCAACCCAATCAATGGTTGAACGTGTTTGTCCCCCAATTCCGAAGATCACATGTATCCAGAGTCTGATTACGCACTGTGCGGGGTCCAAGGTGCTCTTCTGATGAGGGCCTGGGGCGCGTCCCTCCCAGCGGTCCCCCTCCACCAGTAACGCATGATGGGTGCAAGCTGGCCGATCATAATGTACATGGCCAAATCGAACTTGGATAACTGGCGACAACGACGATACACGAATCGCTTTAGCGTGAGCACTAATTATTCTGGACATCATCCAGGATGGAGCGAAGCCGATGCCTCGAACATTTGCCTATGACGAGGTCGGCTTCCGTGAGCCTCGTGCCATGAGATAGCCATTGAATTACTGCACTACGTTCCCGCAGAAAGCGAACACACCCAGAGCCGACGGGAGAGCAAATGGCACCCGCCCGCCAAAAGTGAAGCGCCACACGAGGATGAAGCCAAGGGATAGCAGCAACAAGCATCGTACAGATCATAGACATCTACACAAATCTGCAATCGGTCACAGTCCGCGGCACGGCGCCGCGACAGATGCCCATGAGGTGGCCTTCGTCGCCCTATCTGCCGCTCACGGCACTGCACCGTAGGACGGCACGGGCTACACTGCTGGCAACACACAATCCCCGATCGAGCACTAGGCCTGGTTCAATGCGTGAATCAGAAGCGGTCCTAAGTCGTGCATGGAATGCCTCTCTGGAACGCTTCGGCATTGCAGGCAGCTTCGACTCAGCGACATCGCCGGGGCTCCACCTGGCAACCATATGCACAAGATAGTTCCGGCCAGGGCTTTGATGCAAAACCGCGCGACCATATGCACCTGGCGACCATATGCACAATCACTACTGGCAACGACGATCGCAATACGGGCAGCCTACGTCCCTGTGCTGGTAGCATCCACCGTCCAGGCTGGTAGCATCCACCGTCCAGCGATCACCATCGGAGGCGGCCCCCTCCAGCTCTCGAGCCTTGGCCTGCGGGTCGGAGGCCATGGTGGTGGAAGTCGCCGCGAACCTGGGCGCCACCTTCTTGGACGGCCGAAAGGGGTACCGAAAAATGGGTACGATGCCCAACAACAAATGTTGTTCGAAACCAACGGCGGCCGCTGTTAGGCAGGTGCCCTTCCGCCTTGAATGAACAGCGTCCGCGGCGATACCGACAACGAGTCTGGTTCAAAATGAATAGGATCTGATGTCGGTCTTCGTAACCGCTACAGGTTTTCAATACCCCCCCCCGTGATGGGGCACTATTTATCCGCGGGCTCATTGATGGATTGAGACCCAATTGTTACTGGGAACAACTGTTCCGCGGCGGTGGCCACCGTTGATGATCGGGAGGGGGATGGGGACTCCTGATGGAAATTATGATGCTGCTGCTGCTGCTGATGATGATGATGATGATGATAATAATGTTAATGTTAATGATGATGATGATGCTGATGGTGATGATGATGCAGCTGCTGATGATAATGCAGCTGATGATGATGATGATGATGATGCTGATGATGATGCTGATGATGATGATGATGATGATGATGATGATGATGATGATGATAATGACGAGGACATGGACGGGGAGGGGAGGGACGAGGTCAATTGCCAGCCGAAAGCTTATGGGGAGGAGAGGGGCAACGATGGGCGGGACTGGCATAGTGGGGGACACATCGACCTGGAGTCGGCGATACATCGCCGATAGGTCGGCATAGACCCCTGATCGTGAATCCGCACCTTTGCTGGGCAGGTTTGGGGCTATCGGGCCCCTATCGGCGATCCATGGGCGATTGGCAGTCGATGTCCCCCCCGTATGCCTACAGTCAACCCGTGTGATAAGGATGCGCGGTAAAGATGCAAGGGACTTGGAGGCCCACGCGAACGTTTCTCTAGCGAGGCTGGCCAGCGAAAGTTGCTAAGGATGGGCCGAAGGGGCAAGGATGCAAGGGTACCCTTGGGAAGGTTGCCCATCCTTCCTATGCGGGTGGACTGTATTCCCCCCCTATCCCCCTATCGCCGTCGCTGAAGGGGAACGGGGGCATCAATGAAGACCTCCTGCGGTTACCCCTTTGTCCCCAGACTCCCGACGTCATGACTTTTTCATGACGCGACCCCCCAAGGTCCGGACCCAGTCCCCGGGACCGGTTTTTCATCCTGGTTCGTGTTTTGACGGTCCCGAGGCCCTGCGAGGGCCCCCAAAGGCCGACAATCGTGACAAACCTCCCGTTGTGATTTTTGTAAGAACGCGAGGGGGTCAGGGTCCCCACCCAAATTCGATCGTCTGGAGCCTTCCTGCCGCCGCCCGCGCGGCCGCCTCCCGAGCGTCGCGGGCTCGCCACGGTCAGGCCGGGGAAAAGCAGCGACTCCGTCGCGGGGCAGTGCGCATAAGACCGGTGCCAAAAGGCGGCCGGGCCCCCGAGGACGTGGCTCCGGAGGCGCCGCAGGGCCGGCGCCACGCTGCGGCCAAGGCCCCGCCGCGGAGACGCCGCGCGCGCCGTCAGCCTGGTGGGCTTACTGCCGCCGACACACACATATATGTGTGTATCTATATATATATATATATAGAGAGAGAGGGGGAGAGGGTCCTCCTCCTCCTCCTCCTCCTCCTCCTTCCCCCCTCCAGCTTATGGTGGTGGTGGTGGTACAACGCGGGCGCGGCCACAGGAAACCCTCGCAAGAAACCCAACCTTGGGAAACCCAGAGCACCCCGAACGCAGCAGCTCCTTCAACGGCTGCGGGAGGCCACCGCGCAGCGCGAGGAGCGAAGAAGCCCAAGATTACCTTGACGAAAAGCATGTGGCCTCCTGATGCGCGCCCCCCCTGTAGTTGAAAACATGCCCATCACAACCTGTGAGGCGGGTGGTCCTGGCAGCACGGCTCCGCCCCGGATCCGCCAGAGGGGCCGCGGCCTTGGGCGCCCGAGTTATCCGGGGTAACTCGGGTCCGGGGTAACTCGGGTTCGGATTCCCGAAAAACGAACCCGAGTTATCCCTGACCCGAGTTACCCCTGATGATTCGGGGCTCTGGACGCCCGAGTTATCCGGGGTAACTCGGGTCCGGGGTAACTCGGGTTCGGATTCCCGAAAAACGAACCCGAGTTATCCCTGACCCGAGTTACCCCTGATGGTTCGGGGCTCTGACGGCCTGCGGCCACTGCGGCGAGGTCCAGGGCGGGGACCCGGGGCGCGCAGGGGGCCAGCCCCGGCGCCAGCACGGAGCACGCCGCGGCGGCGGCGGGAGGGCCCATTGGCGCGCGCGGGGGGCGGAGAGAGACTGGGAGGCAACTACTGGGAGGTTTTCGTCGGAAAGATTAAGGAGGATGAAGCCAAATTTGGGAGCAATTACGCCGGAGTGGGCCTCGGATTAAGCGGGATGAAGCCGGATTAAGAGGGTTAAAGAGGATTAGGCGGAATTAAGCGGGATTAAGCAGGATTAAGCCGGATTAAGCCGGATTAAGCCGGATTTCGGACCAGCGCAGAATCAGAATTTGACCTCCCAGGAGTTGCATCCGAAGAGAGAGGAGCGATGTGCCAAGAACTTCTGCGCTAAAAGTGGCCCAAAGAGGAGCTGACACTGGGCGGGTCTTTTCGTCTTCGTTCTGTCTTCGCCTTCCCTTCGTTCTGCCTCCATCCGCCTCTGCCGCAAAGCGAAACCGAAACGACAACGGGCCACGGTATCGCCGAAACACCGTTTAGGTCCAGCCCTGGCCCAAACTGGTTGCCTGGAACAGTACCGTCTCACCCAGAAATTTCCTGAGAGCAAGTCGTGGAACCAAAAGGAGGTTCTTGGAACGTTTGTTGTTGCCTGGCCCTGGCAGCGGCCAACTCCGCCTAAACTATTCAGATGGGGTTGGCCGCGGCGGGCGCCTCCATCATCCTCTTTGGCTTCGCCCTCTGGGGTGGAATTCTTCAGGACTTTCGTGTATGGGCAAGTCAGATTTCTGAAAAACCGGCTGGGGCTCAGAACTTGAAGGGTGTCTGAAGACAGGTGCACCCCAGCAGGGGTGTCCGACACCCGAGCGTCGAAGGGACCCACCAGGGTACCCCAGATTTCGTAATAAAAGGGAGGGGGTCTGGACCCTCTAAGACAAGCCACTTCAGACCTCCCCCATGGGAGAACCCTCCAAAACAGCGTCCCCAGACCCCCCCAGGCCCTCCAAGATAGCTTGGAAAAGACCCCCCCCCCCGAAATGAGACCCCCCTCCCTGTATTACGAAATCTGGAGTACGGTTCGCAAGCCGTCGCACGCAGGGTGACGGCAAGCCAGGACTCTTCGCCGCCGCCTCAATGTCTGGGGAGGGGGGGCTGCGAAAGCGGCGGCTGGCGGACAGCTCCGCCCGGGGAGTGCGCGGCCTGCTCCAGTCGACGGGGCGGACAGGGGAGGGAGGTGGACGGCGAGGGAGGGGAAGGAGAGAGGAAGGGGGGAGGCGATGAGGAAGGGGAGGAAAACGATGAACGAGGGGAGGGAGGTGGACGATGAGGGAGGGGGAGGAGGGGGGAACCGCTCGGCCTGTTCTTTTGCGACACGGGGGAAGAAACTGGACGATGACGGAAGGGCGATGGGAGGAGTGACGAGGGAGAGGGAGGGAGCCGAGGAAGGAGAAGGAGAGCAGGAGAGAGGAGGACGAGGAAAGCCTATAGCCCAGAACCCCGACGCCATGCCGTTTCCCATTGCCGCCTCCGTCTCAGGGAACGGCTTCTCACCCCGAGCCGCTTTTCGACGGCCCCGAGGCCCGGTGAGGGCACCCAGAGGCCAGCAACCAGAGGAGAAAAAAAAAACGCAAAAGCCTCCGGAGGTCGAAAGCAGCGAGCCACCTTCCGCCGTGATGTTCCCACGGCTCGAGGGGATGGCGCGAAGGACGCTCCGCCGTGATTTCCCCACGGCTCGAGGGGGTGCTGCGAAGGACGCGGGCGGGGGGAGCTCCGCTCGGGGAGACGTGACAATCGGGTGCGGGGGACTTGGTCTGGCCTGGCAAGGCCATCATTAACCAGCCTCGAACGTAGCCCTATCCCTAAGATGGGCGAGCAAAAAGCGAGGACAATCTTAGGGACAGGCCCTCAGAAACTGAGGGAGTCCTCAAGGTCGGCATCGAGGTGAGGTGATGTCAAACTTAGGGGTAGGGGTATGTTTCAAACTGGTAAATCATGAAAACAACGCGGCCCCATCTGAAATGTGACGCGACGTCCCGCTGCAAACATGCCACGAACATTGGACCGTCAAAGTCCACGACACGCTCGTCAAAAAAACGTCGGCAAACAAGAGTTCTGGCTTACTCGAGTCTTACGCCTCCCCGATGTTCGACGGTCCCGAGGCCCGCTGAAGGCCCCTGGAGGTCGAAGACAACGAGCCACCTCCCGCCGTGATTTTCCCACGACTCGAGGGGGCTGCGAGGGCAGCGCAGAGCTGGAGGCCCCCTAGATGAGGTAGGGGGAATCAGAGTGGTACACGATGTTCGGCTACACGTAAGAGTGACACTGGGTAAGAATGACCTCTGGTGCGCGGCAAAACGGGGGACGCGGGGTGGCCAAACCTGGGCGCGCAAGCCGCTGCTACCGCTTCGCGCTCAACGGTCGGGGGACCCCATTGGGCCCGCACCAAAGGTCACTCCGGCGAAAGATCACTCTTTCGTGCATTTGAGATGTTAGGAGGCAACTACTGTGAGGTTTTCATCTCAAGGGTTAAAACATTGAGCCCCATTGGAGGGGCTGTTAAACCAAAAGGGGCTCGGATCAAGCAAGATTAAGCGGGATTGGACGGGATTTAGCCGGATCAAGCTGGATCAGGCGGGATGAAGCCGGATTAAACGGGATTTCGGACCAGGGCTAAATCAGAATTTGATTTCCCAGGAGTTGTATCCGAAACGATGAAGGCGTTCCATGTAGTTGGATGTCCTGTAGAAGCTCGGCCCTGTGATGTGCGGTCTGTTATGTTGCGCGGTGTGGTTTCCATGGTGAGGCGCAGGGAGGGAAAGATAACAACAAATAATAAACAAGAGGTTGCAATAGTCATACTGGAAAACGTAACGTGGGACATAATGGAAGAACTAAGGCATTCGGCGGAAATCCGGGGACCAACAACAACAAACTAAATTGAAACAGTCAGAAAAATCAGACAAAACCGTAAACCACGACAAACACCATTGGTTTTCCAAGACAAATCTGCAACAGAAGCGCAAACAAACTAAACGATGTTTCGTTGTCCCTCTGATTTGTTCCTTAAAAACCATAATGGCTTCCTGGTTTGTCCTCATTCGGACACCGAACATCAGGAGAACAACGAAAAACCGACGAATCCTAAAAGCGTTAAAACTTAGATAAAACAATATGTTAAACACAAAAAAGATTGTGTAGTTTAGATCGTTTTGGATTTTCTTGGGCAACCCATTGTTTATTTGATATGTTGTGCATGGTTGTGTTGTTTAATTTCTTCGCTTATTTTTGGTTACTGAATGTTCTGGAACTCAACACAATCATCGCATATCCAGTTTCTCGGTTATTCCACTGCTGTACTGCAAAAGGAACTCCGCTCGGTCGCAATATGATGCAGTGTTCCTGCGCGACGGAGCCTCCTCCTCCTCGGGGCAATCTGCTGTGACAGATCACGACCCGCGAACTTCGTAGCCATTGTGGCCCAGGCGGGGCCGCATATGCATCCAGCGCTGGTTTGCAGTGGTTGTCGTAAAGCCACCATGCGAACGCTGCATAAAACAGTGGGTGGCCACTGAAAAGACCATTGTTTGCCATTGTATACCTTTATTTTGCATTCATGCATGTACTGTCTATGGGTGCTGCATTGCTGATGGCGCTTTGACACAAGCAGGCCATGCTGCATTGAAAAAGCAGAGTGTGCAAAATGAACGAACATGGTGTGAAGCATTCTGGCCTAATCTCCCACAAGACTCACAAATATTGTTCGAACCGGCTGTGGAAATGATATCGCTTCCTGGCGACCAAACGCTATCATATTGTATGTTTGGATGCGGAAATATCCCAACGACAGTTTGCACGTTCTCATGTTTTCGCTGCGTCGTTTGCTGCCGATGCGAATGTGACGGACGAGGAACATGAGAAAATGGCGATGCAATACACATCTACCGACGCCTTTGAACCGGAACGGCAATTTGTTGATACGTTGCACCGCTTGTTGCAAGATGATGATCACAAGTTGACCGCAAAAAACTTTGCACTTGTGCGTTGCAACAAGTGGATCGCATCCTCGAGCGCGGGGGCCAGACGCCCCCCGTTGCAGATGCCGTCAAAGGAACCGTCGCAACGAATGCCGTTGTTGCGTACACTTACGGACATTTACCGGAATGGTTTGGTCAAGCGGCGTTCATCATGCAGCCGTATGCCATGCCGTTTCGTCGACGCGAGTTCCAAGCGTATCAGGTAGGAGCGGATCTTGACCTTGCGTGGTTCGATGCATACTGCGGCTATCGGCGCGAAGGAGATTTTACTCGGCGCCATGTAACTGGTCCAGGCATGATGCCTTTGGACGTGCGGTTATCCCCGCGCACTTATGTGTAAGACGGACGTCACAAACGCCGTCGAGGGAGAGCGCGTGGATGATGAACTTGATGCGAAACCAAAAACAAGTCGGTACACAAAAAGGAACATCGCAGGAGCAGCGATATGTCGGCACGCTTTGCAGTTTGGCACAGGATTTCGCTGTAGACGCCTTCCAGCGCGATGAGCTGCGACGTGCAATTCATGCGTGCGGCTGTGCCCAGACGTCTCGGCTTGCTCCAGGCACGGAAAAGGGTAAGGCGATCGCCAGTCTGGTAATGGGATACGATGCTGAGGAATATCACCGGTGCGAGCTGGGCCGTGGCCTCCATGTGCCACAGTTGCGGAAATCGAAGAACACGAGGTTGCCCGATCACGTGCACGATGCGTATGCGCAGAGAATCACATGCATGAAGAAATGCGTCGTTGCCGTGCTTGTTGGTGCTGTCGCGGAAGAGTTGGATGAGGATGTTACGAAGTGCAAAACAAGTGTCTTTATGACTCTCATATTCATTGCCGCCATCGTCGCACCATCGTGTCAACCGGCTCTCGCCTTTCTGGAACCAGCCACGTCGCATTCTGCCCGTGGCAGCGGCGTTTTCGCTTGCCCGATGACCTAGAGATGGGTACCAAGCATAGGGGGATTGCGCATTCGGTTGAGAGGTGGGGCCACGTGATCCGTGAGTCCCATGGTGTTGTTGTGCCCGCTCTCCCTGGGGAGCAAGCCCCGCACCGCATGTCA